TTGAAATTGAACCACAGGGGACAGAGAATCCCATGGCTTTCATCCTATTGACAAGGTGGCCACTGTTTCCCTGGCTTCTAGCCTTTCCCGAGCTTGGTACACCCTTCCATGAGAGAACCTGGAGTGGCGGCCACTCCCACTCCCTAGAGCTAACCTACCCTGCTCTGTGGTCTCTTCCCGCTCCTCAGTGCTGATCCTTGCTGTTCCTAGTGCGTCCCCCCAGGGTGGGGTCCATAGCCCCCTTCACACTTGTCCTTATCACCTGTGCCACCATCATCCTGCTGGGTCCCCTACACTGCACTGGGGTCTCAGGAGGCTCTGGCAGTGTGAGCGGCATCTCAAGTCCACAGCAATGCTCAGCACTGGCAGGATGGCTGTCCAGGAGCAGTGAATACACATCAGAAGGAATGGTAACAGCCTCTTCTGAATCTCTGTACTTTCCAATGCCTTTTCCCATCTCTTACTTTGGTTATCTTCAAACAATCTTTTGAGGTAAATAGGATAGGGGTCTGAGTACCCATTTTATAGATGAGGAAACTGAGGCTCTGAGAGACAAACTGATTTGCCCAAGGCCACTCAGCAGTGAGGGACTCTGCAGAAGAACCAGATTCCAGGCTGCCACGCACGTACAGCCCCACTAGGCTGGGGTTCAGGCTGCCTGCCTGCATAGAAATCTGTCAGGTGTCAGAGAGACCACAGCTCATGGCAGAGACAGGGATGAGGGGAAGCTGAGGAGCCCTTTGACCCCAGCACCACACTAATGTGTCCATGGACCAGGGGAAGCTGGAGCTTTCACCCCACCTCAGCCCCTCCTGCTCCTGGATCCTCTGGGCAGGGGTATCCCTGGGACTTTGCCAATGCTCAGAGCTGGGGACAGAGTCTCTCAGGACTCAGCACTTCTCTGTGTCTTCTTGGATTGCCAGGTCCCCAGGTCCCTGGGCTGATGTTCCTCAGAGCTAGGTGTGCTCAGGGCTAGGGGTCTGGGGGTGGGGACAACACTGGTCATGAGACAGGGGTGGGCCTGGTGTTGCCTGGTTGTCAGGACAGACCTCACCTCTTGTCTACATAGCACCAGGGGTCTACTTGGTGCGGAAAGGGTCCAGCCCAGCCTGAGGAACCTCCTGCAGCATGTTTTTCCTGGCCCCTGGGTACCAGCAGCCCTTCTGCCTGCCTATTCCCTAGTCTCCAGCTCAAAACCACTTCCCGAGCCCAGAATGGATAGGGTCTCTTCAGCACCCCAGCCCTTAGAGGAAGAGGTGGTGAGAAGGTAAGGGGCTCTGGCCAGAGACCCTTGAAACATAGCTGGGGACAGGGGAGCTGAGAGTAGGGGGAATTGTTGGTTCCCACCTGGGAAGGGTGAGAAGTCAGTCACTGTGGGAGGTCACAGGGCTTGATGGCCACAGTGGGCCCTTTGTGCACAGACCATTGAGTCACTGAATGGGGCCCTCAAAATGCTTCCTGGCAGAGGGCAGGCTGGGCCTAGACCCCCAGGCAGGCATGAGCTAGTGGGGAGGCTGGAGGTCTCAGGTATGTGTGTGGGACAGGGAATGAGGACAAGATTGACCCCATATCCATTGGCAGCTTTACTGGGGCAAGAAGAAAATCTCATTTCCTCAACATGTTTCATAAGTGTCCTAGGTTCTGGAGATACAGGATTGAATAAAAAAAAAAAACAAGTCCATGCTCTTAAGGAGCTTGTCAACTGGTGGGAGAGACAGGCAAGAAACAAATCAATAAATAATATAAAAATCAGGATCATGAAACAAAATAAACAGAGGCCAGGAAACTGAGGGCAGAAGATGAGCTGTTTTAGATGGGATGGGTGAGGAAGGTGTCTGGGGTAAGGTGGCATCTGAGCAGAGACCTGAGTACACGATGGAGCAATCCATGCAGCTGTTTAGGGGGAAACAAGATATAATAGAAGAACATTTCCCTGAACTGTAGAAAGACTTGAGTTTCCAGATTAAAAGGATACACCAAGCATAGAGTAGTAATAATGAAAACAGAAGGAGGCCAGAGTCAGACATATCCTGGTAAAATGTGTGAAATTCAAGCATGGAGCAAAGATCACTCCAAAAAGGCACCAGGCCCAGAAGGTTTTATAGGCAAGGTCATACAATATTTAACCAATATAATTTATATCCTTCCAAGGCCCTTTTGTATACTTGATTATGTAGAAGTAGGGAAGGAATTGCTTCGGAGGAAAAGAAACTTAGAGGTTTTCACTGCTACAAAGAAAAATCTTTATTTTTTTTGTCATCTGTTTTGAAGAGCACCACCTGGTTTTGTTCTCTCCTTTCTGCCAAGGAATCTCAATGATAGATTCTCCCCACTATATCGAGGGAGCTTTTCTCCTTAGATATGGTTTGGGGTAAATGCTGTATCTAGCTGTAGGGCATTAAAGATTGTGGTGAAAACTTGGGCTTTACTTACTCTGAGTGAGTTGGGAGCTGCTGGAAGCTTCTGAACTCAGAGGGTACCTGATCTGACTCAGGTTTTAACAGGACCATCTTGGCTGTTCTCCAGTTTCTAGCCAGTGGGGCCTCCTCCCTGTGTGCTGAAGCTACTAAGGATATATCTTTGCTTCCAAGCTTTTTCTGACCTTTCGCTGCAGCTTTCACCAAGGAGACAGGAGGCACTAGGCTGAGAGTATGTGAGGAGTGAAGACTGAGGGCGGGCAGGGCAGATGGAGAAGTGCTGTGGCCATGCTTGATCCCAACCTGCACTGAGACAAAATGAGGAATACAGGTCTCTATCTCTTCTCTTATGAAAATGGGCAAATTCCACTGTTCTGCTCAGGCTAGCCAGGGCTGCTGTAATGCCAGAGTGATCATTCCAACTTCTGTGTACTAGAAAGCCTCTCACCATCCTCAACACAAATGTCCTTAAAGCCCTCTGGTCGTGCATTGGTTTGGCTCCTAGTGGCAGCAGCAGCTGAATCCCTGGCACTGACCTGGTGCACAGAGTGTCCCCAGATCCCTAGTCAAGCAAGCCCAGACCTATAGCATTCCAGAGAGCCTGGAAAGGGTCTGGTTAAAAATTCCTGTTCTAGCAATGTCTTCCAGAAGCAGCAGGAGAAAATGCTCCCCACCTCCCAGTGCCAGGAGGGGAGAGGAAGGAAGCTCAGTAGGACAGCTCTGCACAGGTGGCCTGGGGGTGTCTGCAAGATGACCTGACTCTACCTCTCCACCTGCTCCTTCCCAGCTGTGTGACTGGGGAGGGCTGGTGTCTTCTCTGAGTCTGTTTCTTCATCTGTAAAGTGCTTGGCTGAGGATCCAGCTGGAGTGTGGATTTAAGGGCACAGCAGGGTGTCTAACACCCTCAGCCCACGTGTTTCTCTTGGCCAAGCCACTCTGAGCCTTACTCTTCCTATCTCTAAGCGGGAACCCAAATGCGAGCCAGGATTGCTGCGGACTAAAGCAGTCTATGAACGCTTTTGTAGACTAGGAAGCATTTGGTCTTCAGAAAGGTGCCCCAGAGACAAGGTGTCATTGGCTTCAAGTAGGGGTCAGCAAACCTCAGTTAGTCCTGGAGGGCAGGGTGGCAGCGCAGAGCGCGCGCACTTTTCTGAGGGTAACTGATTGACCTGCTGAAAGCCCAATACCATACTTCTCCAAAAATACGTTCTTCTAGGCAAGTCTCCTACTTTATCCGACACTCAGCGGGGGACAGAGCTGCTTGTACCGCGCTGTGGATGAAGGTGGGGGCGTGGGGCAGACCAGGTCAGACAGGCTCCCCAGTGCTTCCCCCTCAGTCACGCAGACTGCACTTGGGGCGATCTCAGAGCTTTTCTTAAATCGTGGGGCGCGTCTCACGTTCTCACCCGGGGACTGAGCTTTAGAAACCGAACCTCGTGGACGCCGCGAGACAGCGGCGAGGGATGGGAAGCAAGGAGGTGGCTGCGGGCCGGGGACCAGGCAGCGTGTTTGGGGGCGTGCGCTTCTGGCAGCTCCGGGATCCTGGAGCATCCGCCGCGCAAGTCCGGGCGCCGCGAGGGCGGGGCGGGGCGGGGCCATGGCGGGGCGGGGCATGTGACGCACGGCGCGGGCCAATGGGGCGCGCGCCCGGGGCCGAGCCTCCTGCGAGCCTTCGCGGCGCCCGCTGCGTCACGTGAGCGGCTGGGAGTGAGCGCCCAGTGAGCTGCAGGCGGGCTAGTGCTCCGCCGCAGCGACCCGCGGGCCGGCGGGCGAGCGAGCCACCGCAGGACCCGCGGCTCGGCCCGCGGCCGCGGTCGGACGGAGAGCCGAGCCGCCGCCCCCAGCCCAGCCCGCCCGGCCGCAGGACCGCCGGGGCCTGGCCGCCGGTCGGGCGTGCGCCAAGTTCAGGTGGGAGAGGCGCGGCGGGGCCGGCCGGCCGCGTGGACGCGGCCCCGGGTGATCTGAGGGCTGGCCGGCCTCGGGGCGCGTGGCCGTGCGCCCGCGCAGCTCTCGGAGGCACGGCGCGAGTGCCGGAGGAATGTCGGAGGAGCGGGTGGGCCCCAGCGGAGGTGGGCAGGGGTCGGACTAGCCTGAGGGAGGTGACCCCCCCCCCCACAGCCCCGGTCGCCCACCAGCACTTTGCTGAGGCCCGCGCCGCCGCCTCGGTGCCTGGCCGGGCGATTCCATGGCGCGCCTTGCGGGCCGGCCCTCCCATATGGTGGGCACCGGCGCGGCCTGGTGAGAGGAGGGGACGAGCGGACGCGCTGGCCAGCCCACGGTTGGGGGCGGAGGGGCTGGAGACCAAGGGGTTACTGTAGGTCACCGCAGCAGTGTCGGGGGCAAGGAGGGGCGCGGGACGAAGGCATGGTGCCCAGCGGGCAGCGGTCCAGGATTCTAGAAGGGGTCGGAGCCGGCTCTCTTCATTTCCCACGCACATTTTCCCGCACCCGCCGGCACCCACGGCGGCTCCACGCGCGAGCACTTCGCGGACAGCCTCCCGTACAGCCACAGAGGCTGCCGCGCACCACGCCCCGCACACGCAGTCACACGACAGGAACTCACACCCCTTCACGCACACCCGCACCGTTCACGCGTCTCACTCCACGCTGAGTGCGGGTCCCCTCAGACCGAACATTGCCAAAGCCATGGCCTGGCTGAGGGATGGCGGCGGCGGGGCAGAGAGGCCGTCCCCGTCCCATATGGTGGTCCGGTTCACTCTTCCCTCCCCGCCTTGGTGTTACTCATGGAACCCCCTCTCACGGAGGGCACAGAGGGGCTGTTTTCTCCCACGGCCCTCGGAGGTGACAAAATCAGAAATATCTGAGCGCCTCAAATCTCCTTCCCCCTCCCCCCCAGGACCAGGTGGCCCCTGGGGAGACCCTGCCGCCCTACAGGTGTGAGGACGCCCGGACTCTGCGACTTTGGGGCCTGCGGGCAGCTCAGGGACCGGGACTCTTATTTTGAAGGACGGCCCCCTTCGCCACCCCCGTGATTTGCACGCTGACCCAATGGCAAGCCCTTGGCCGGCTCTGGGCTTGTTATCAATTACATGTTGTTCCTGCAGCCGCTGTGTCCCCGGGAGGATAAACAGCAGGCCTGGCCGGGCCAGGGGAGGGGGCGGAGTCCGGCGGCCAGCCGGGGACTGTGCCCGGAACAGCGTGTCCCCTCCCCCTGCACGCAGTCTGCGCCTCTGGCCGCCCCACGTGCTGCTGTGTTTTAGGGGCCGAGCCAGCTCCAGCCCTACAGTGTCCTCTCTTTAATGCTGGTGCCCTGGGCCATCCCAGAGCCCTTTCTGGGTTCTCGGTGCCTGGGTGCCTCCCCCTTGAGACGTTCAGCCCAGCATTAAGACTCTGTTGCCTGACCTGGGCCACCCACTCCTAGTCTCCGCCCCCTCTTCCCCGCACCTTCCATTCACTCATTCAGCAAATTTTGCTGGGTCCTGTTTTAGACTCTGGGTTACAGCATTGGAGTGAACAGTCAGGACAGCTGATATTCTGATGGGAAGGTAGACAGCAAAGTTCACAAACACATTACCAAGATAGTTTCCCACAGTGGAACCTGCAGTGAAGAGCATAATATAGGGTGATGTAACAGGGTGGGCCTGGAGGCCCCCACAGGGGTGACTTCTGAGCCGAGATCTAACTAAGCAGCTCCCACCTGCAGTGCTGGGGGAAGAGCCAGGGCAGTGGCTCCCGGCTGAGGCTGAAGTGAGGCGAGCATACCTGGACTAGGAGAGAGGCAGTTGGTGGTGAGGTCTGCAGAGAGTCCCGAGGACCCAGGTGCTGGGCTGCTGCGAGGAGATAGGGCCACCTGTCCTTGGGAAGCCATTGGAGGGTGTTTCCTTCCAGCCCCCGTTCTGTACTTTTTAGATCACTTTATCTGTCAATATCTGTTTATATCTTTAAAAGGTAAGGCCTCCTTTAACCACAATACGATCATCACAGTTAAAAATATTAACAGTAATTACTTAATATCTTGGGATGGCCAGGTAGTGATCACGTTTCAGGGGAGGGCTCTAAGGCCTGCTCTGGGTCCCAGGAGGGCTGGAGGCCCCTGATTCCTTAACATTGCAGTACAAGGGCAGAGGCCGCACGTTTGCTGTGCCTGCAGGCTGACACCAATGGCTGGCACTGGCTGAGTGCCGCCTGTGTGCCAGATCGTGAGGGGAGTTCTCACAACACCTGAGGAACCAGGCACTGTTGGAAGCACCTCCATCTCACAGACTGAGACAGACACAGAAAGCCTGTGCACCTGCCCGAGGTCACCTGGCAGACAAGTTGCAGACTCAGGAATGGAGCCCATGCTTGGAGGGTGGGAAAGGGTTGGCGGAGGCCCAGGGTGGAGTGTGGGCTCTGCTCAGCCTTGTGCCCTTCACAGTGTCTGGCACTTTCATTCCTTCCCAGCACCTGATTTGGTGAATAGGTGCATTTTAAAACACACTCCAGGTTTAAATCCTTAGCTGAGTGTTTAAACCAAAAAGCCAAATGTCTTCCTAGTAAAACTGGCCTGGGATACAGACCTTGCCTTAGTTTCCTGGAGTTCCATGAAGCTTCCTGGATAAGTTGGGAACTGAGGTCAAAGGTCCTGGGGTCCCTGAGCAGGAAGAGACTTAGAGATCTTTGAAGCATGGAACAGATGAGGAAACTGAGGTTTGGGAGGGGAAGCAAGGACTTGCTCAAGGTCATAGCTGATGATGGTATTGGCCATTGGGCAGTGTGGAGTGCCAGGTCCTGAAGGGGTCCTGGAGACAGAGGGGCTGGGTGTAGAGGTGATGCTGGGCAGCAGAGAACCTCTGACTTTGGTGCAGAGCGTTCCCCTTCCCTAAGCTTGATAAACACCCAGCCCGCCCTGGTCACTGAGCAGGGACAAAGGTTCACAGAGGTGGCCCTGTCACAGCTGGACACTGTTGACTCTCCTTGGACACCAGACCTAGCATGTTCTTTGGCTTCAGAGGATGCAGCTTTCCCTTCTCTCTGTCAAGGTTCTCTGAGCCCCTCCTGGGCACCAGGGGCCAGTCCAGGCATTGGGGACGCAGCAGAGACATGGAGTGCACTGTCTCAGGGGGAGACAGGCATTAGCTGAGCTTCCCAAGGTGGTGAGTGTCCCAGATGGAGAGAGCAGTGGCAGACAGTGCAGGGGACTCCACTTCCTTATTGGCCAGGATGGGCTGGGGGGCGGTGGTTATCTCCTTTCCCACTAGATGGGTGTGAAGTCCAAGGCAGTTATGCACATGCAGGTGCTCTGGGACCCCAGTGGTTGGCTTCCACGCCATGGATTATCACCAGAGGGGCAGGGCCTTGGCCACCAGGATGCTAAAGCGTCAGGGTGCAGGTGAGAGGGTTGTGTTCAAGCCTGTGCCACTCACAGGGCAGTCAAGGCTCAGCGGGGTTTGAGGACTGGAGAGTGGAGGAGGTTTTCCCCTTTAGATGGGGAAACAGCCGTGCGGGCAGGCACTTCTTGGTCTTTGACTGTTTTGCCTGCGTGCTACACTTGCCCAGGTAAAATGCAGGCGGCCTAGTTAAATTCGAATCTCAGGTGAAATAATTTTTAAATATAAGTGTGTTCTATCCAATATTGGGAACATACTTAAAAGTAGTTTATTTTTTAAATCTGAAATTCGAATTTAACTGTCGGCTTGTATTTTTATTTGCGTAATCTGGCAACCCTCTGGAAGCCTCAGCAACATGCGGGTCAGAGGGCAAATGGCTGTTCTACCCCCATTCTGTGACTCAACTGGCGTGATGCTGAGGTCAGGAGTCCTCAGATGTCCAGTGACTCCTATGATGTTGACGGTAGGCTGATTCGGGGTTTTGGCCCTCCTGGGGTCCAGAGAGCCTCCTCGTGCATGCCCTTCTCTCATACTCACCCATACTCAGTTGTTCACAGACACATGTGCTATTTTCCAGGATAATTCTGGAAAATCTGTTTGAAACCAGAAGTGCCCCTGGTTGTGCAATGGGCTTGGAGAGGTCTCTTTTGCAAACAGGTGGTGCAATTTCAGAAAACACTCTTGCAGGCACAGCTCTCCTGGGGGATGGAAGCAGGATCCAGGCATTTGGCAATGGGAGGCTGTGGGCAGGCAGCTGAGGGTGGGGTCAGAGGCCCGAGAGGTGGCAGGTGAGCACTGTCCTTCTGACCAGGCCTCCTGTGTTCCTTCCCTGCAGCTGCCACCGGCACGGCCAGGCCAGCATGGTGGACCACTTACTTCCAGTGGACGAGAACTTCTCGTCGCCAAAATGCCCAGTTGGGTATCTGGGTGATAGGCTGGTTGGCCGGCGGGCATATCACATGCTGCCCTCACCCGTCTCTGAAGATGACAGCGATGCCTCCAGCCCCTGCTCCTGTTCCAGTCCCGACTCTCAAGCCCTCTGCTCCTGCTATGGTGGAGGCCCGAGCACCGAGAGCCAGGACAGCATCTTGGACTTCCTACTGTCCCAGGCCACGCTGGGCAGTGGCGGGGGCAGTGGCAGTAGCATTGGGGCCAGCAGTGGCCCCATGGCCTGGGGGCCCTGGCGAAGGGGAGCGACCCCTGTGAAGGGGGAGCATTTCTGCTTTCCCGAGTTTCCTTTGGGTGACCCTGATGACGTCCCACGGCCCTTCCAGCCTACCCTGGAGGAGATTGAAGAGTTTCTGGAGGAGAACATGGAGCCGGGAGTCAAGGAGGCCCCCGAGGGCAACAGCAAGGACTTGGATGCCTGCAGCCAGCTCTCAGCTGGGCCACACAGGAGCCACCTCCATCCTGGGTCCAGCGGGAGAGAGCGCTGTTCGCCTCCACCAGGTGGTGCCAGTGCAGGAGGTGTCCAGGGCCCAGGTGGGGGCCCCACGCCCGATGGCCCCATCCCAGTGCTGCTGCAGATCCAGCCCGTGCCTGTGAAGCAGGAATCGGGCACGGGGCCTGCCTCCCCTGGGCAAGCCCCGGAGAATGTCAAGGTTGCCCAACTCCTGGTCAACATCCAGGGGCAGACCTTCGCACTCGTGCCCCAGGTGGTGCCCTCCTCCAACTTGAACCTGCCCTCCAAGTTTGTGCGCATTGCCCCTGTGCCCATCGCCGCCAAGCCTGTTGGATCAGGACCCCTGGGGCCTGGCCCTGCCGGTCTCCTCATGGGCCAGAAGTTCCCCAAGAACCCAGCCGCAGAACTCATCAAAATGCACAAATGTACTTTCCCCGGCTGCAGCAAGATGTACACCAAAAGCAGCCACCTCAAGGCCCACCTGCGCCGGCACACGGGTGAGAAGCCCTTCGCCTGCACCTGGCCAGGCTGCGGCTGGAGGTCAGTATAGTGGGTGACAGGTCTGGGCGGTGAGCACAGCCACTCATGTCTGCTTACTTGGGTGTGCAGCAGGGCAATTTTCCACCATTAACAGAAGACGGATGAGGAAGGGGAGGGAGGGGCAGGCGAGTGCAGGCCCAGAGCTGGCACAGTTGCCTGGAGGCTTCCTTGGTCCTTCTGGTTCCTGAAGCCAGAAGCCAACTGGGCTCCAGTTTCCTGATGGCCAGGTAAGGCTTTGCTGGCCTGTGCTGCCTGCTGGGTCTCCCCATCCAGTCTGACAAGGGTGGGGATTGAGGGGCTGGCGAGGAAGGATGAGTGCGGTCTAGGGGCCAGGCAGCGGCTCCCTTTGGGCCCACAGCCCCACAGGGTAAGTACCACCATCCCAACTTACATCATAGGACACCAGGGTTCCGACTGGCCAGGTACTTGCCCAAGGTCACTCTGCTTTGTGAATGGGATTTGAACCCCGGGGTTGGATTTGAGAGGTCACATCCTGAAAATGCTGCTTCCTCAACCAGTGGGACTAGCTTCATTCACCGATGTCTCTAGACATGTGGGCTGGGCCTAGCCCGTGCTTCCTCTCTGGGGACATGGAAGCGTGTTTGGGAGGCTGCAAAGGCCAACCGAGAGGGAGGCTAGGCCAGCTGGCAGTGCTGTCACAGGTGGCAGAACCCAGGCTGTCTGATCTGCATGGCAGTGGGGAAATCAGGCCTCAAATGATAACTGGCAGTGTCCCAACCATGGTTACCCAGCACCCGTCCCTGAGCACCGGGTGCTGCTCAACCTCCTTGGGAGGGGTATCCACCTTTTCCTGAAATGTAGGCTGCTTGCCAAGAGCTTATATGCTCCGAGGTGCCAGAGCCAGCCCTCTGCATTTCCAGATGCCCATCCCAAAGGAATCTCTGTCCTGCCTTGGGGGCGCTGTATGCTGTTGGCACATTCCCCATCTTTGCTGCTGTGGCTGCTGCTGTGTGTGTGAGATGGGGCATGCTCATCTGTGTACCTGGGGATGTATACAGGCCTGGGCCTCGCCAGCGGGTGTGTGGCTGTGTGTATGCATGTCCACATGTGTATGCATCTTGCTTTCTTTGTGTCTGTGCCATGTGACCATATGTGTTTGCACACATACACGTCTTAGGTGTTTGTGCACCATGTGTGCCTGCCTGTGTGTGTGTGTTATGTGTGGGTGCAGCGCCCAGGGAGCAGTTTGCAGCTTTTGTTTTCTTGACCATACTCTGGTTCTGAGAGCTCTTGAGAGTTGTCTGGGGCAGAGGTCCTGGCCGGTGAGGCTGAGCCGTGGCCGGGGAGCTGTGAGTGGAATGTATGTTGTGGCACTGGTGCCGCCTTTCCATTGAGTGCCAATCTGGCCAGAGAAGGGACTTTTCCTGAACAGTGTCTAGGTTTATGGAGGCCCCTCCTGAGTGAGGACCTCACTCTGTCCTGTCTCCCACCCCATTCAGACAGACAGGAGAGGCTGCTGCGAGAGCCCACCCGGGGGCCTCACAAGGTCTCCATCCTGGAGTCCCCACCTCTCTGAGCTTTGTACCTAGGCCTGCCAAGTGGGTGCAGGGCTGACAGGCTACTTGTGAGAGGACACAGTAGCAGTTACACTGTGTGGGAGGTCAGAGGAGCCGAGAGAAGGGCCAGGAGCGCTCTTGATTGAAGCAGGAAACTTGTGCAGGGAAGGCGAGGGCACAGGAGTGTGGGGGCAGTGGTCTTGAGCCTACACCTGGGTCAGCCACCAACTTGCCATGTGCCTTTGGGGTGGTCCTCCTCCGAACCTCAGTTTCCTGTCTGCAGAGTAGAGGGCTAGCCCTCTGCAGCCCATGGCAGGCATGCAGGGCTCCGCAGCGGCCTTCTTGTTGTTGGTACATCACAAGGATACAAACTCATACAAGGCAGTTTCTGAGGAGGAACCCTGAAGGTATTCTCTCCAGCCCCCAAGGGGGCGGTGCCTATTGTGGAGGTGCCCCCTACTCTCAGGGGCCCTGCGTGCACTCTCCTCTTGGTGGGGGCAGGCAGGGGCTGCAGAGAGGAAGGGAAGCCTCCCGCCAAGCACCAGTCTGGACTCCCTAGTCGGGCTCAGCTTTCAGCGCTGTCTCCTGGCCATAGTCAACCATTGGCAAGTGGCTCCTCTAGTCGTGGTGAGGCTGGGTAGGGTGGTGGGGAGGGCAGGTGTGGTCCTCATCCAAGACCAGCCTTCTTCCTGGATATCTTAGAGCCAGAGAGCTGATAGGCCCCTCAGCCCAGAGTGTATCTCAGTGAGGCAGATCTTAGTTCTCTATACAGTGGCCTCAGGAGGTAATGAGGTACATGAGAGAGTGGGGACTTGTGGAGGGGATTCAGCTCTGACACATCTGAGTCCTGGCACTGGTTGTGCTGCCCAGGACCCACTTGGCAGGAGAAGGCGTGATGGTTGCCTAGCCCAGTGAGATCACAGTGGCACTGCCCCCAGGAGCTGTCCCTGCTGCCAGCCATGCCCTGGGCTTCCTGAGGGCTCCTCCAGCTTCCCCCAGGGTCCCCTGGAGTGGGTCTGGCCCTCAGGGGGTAACTCATGGCAGAGGCGCTGTTCAGCTGGGAGCTGAGGGCACCGGCCTCTAGGGACGGCTGCTTTTCTGAGGATGCGGGGAGTCCTCAGCTGGCTTTCAGGGATCTTGCCTTAGTTTCCTGGAGCTCCATGAAGCTTGGGATCTGCCCTGTCTGCTTGTGTCTCTTAATATGGTGATAGTCTTCAACTGAGAGGGAGCCCCTGCAGCTCCTTGCAGCAGTCAGGAGGGAGGATGGACCCTGCTTTGGGATAGCTGGGTCTGGACAGGACTGGAGGAGTAACGATGATGATGGTGAGATGGCATATTTACTGACCACTCACTGTATGCTGGGCACTAATCTTAAGTTTCTCAGAGCTGGAATCCCTTCTGTCCACTATTGTAACTTGCATACTTCCTGCCATGGGGAGCTCATTACCTTCTGAGGCCTTTAAGTGTACTTTGCTACGCTTCAGTTTCTATTCAAGCTTCTCATTCTGGCCCATAGACCCACACAATGTGCTTGCCTGTCTCTTCCCCTTACTGAGTAGGATCCAGCCACGCTGGCCTCCCCACTGTTGCTCAGGCTCCTGCTCTCACGTGGGCATCAGCCCTCTCTGTGCCCTCTTGAATGACCCCTGCCCTTGAGGCTGTAGTGACAGCTTAAGGTTTTCGCATTAGCTCATCAGGTCCTTGTAACTGTCTGGTAAAGTGTAGGCCCCAATCTTCATTTCACAAAGAGGGAAACTGAGGCACAGATTGCTTACATCACACGCCCGCAGGGACATAGCTAGTGAGTGTGAATCTGGGTTGCATGCCTAAGCCCGAGCAGAGCTCTGCTCTGGCCGCCCAGCAGTTCCAGCTGGTATCAGAGTTGCCGTGTGTGCCTCCACTCTCCTACCAAGAGGTCGGCCCAAAAGGCATTATGCTTCTGGGCTATGGGAAAAGAGCTAACAACCACAATCGAGATAATAACCAGGGCCTGTAATGCATACCTGGCACTGCTCTGAGCAAAATTCACATATATTAATTTATGTAATTCTCGAAATTAGTAGGCATCAGCATGTTATCCCTGTTTCACAGAGGAGATAATTAAAGCACAGAAGAGTTAGGTAAATTCTCCAGTCAGACAGCCAGTAAGCCACAGAGCCAGGAGTTCAACTGAGGCTGTCTGCCCAGACTCAGAGACCTCCCTCTGCACCCCTGTGTTGGGTGCTAACTCTGGTGTTGGGGACCTCCACCTCCATCTGCAGCTTAGCCTGGTCTTTGGGGTGGCAGCTCTGCACTTTCACCTACTCCCCGTGTGGGAGCTCTCCACTCCCAGGACTCGTCTCTTCTTCCTGGTGGCCCTGATGAATGGGATGCTCTTCCTGCCCCAGGCTGGCTCTGGCCTCGTGCTGTGTCCTGTGCTCGGAGAACAAGCGAGGGCCCCTCAGCCCCCTTGTCCCTCTGTGTAATGGACGGTGCCCTCCCTCCACTGCTGAGGTCGACACCTGCCCAGGTACTCAGCCCACTTCCTTCTGCTTTTGGTCCTGAAAGTATTCCCTGTCCCTTCTCTGGTGACATGATTTTGGCACCCTCAACAGGGCTGAGAGCAGACTTTCCCTGTTCTGATCCAGCCGTCTGGGAAGTACTGCTTGCCTGCCTTCCTAGAAGTTTCCTTGCCTCACTCTCAGACATAGGCATCCTTTGTTCCTTGCAGCAGAACGTCCTGTTCCAGAATGGCCAAGCCATTCCATCCAGAAAGAATCCCTTCTGCTGCAGTGAATATGAATATGAATAACTGTCATCATCCTGCAGGGTGGGTACCTTTGTCATCCACAGTGGATGTGGGGTGGGGGGACAGAGAAGGGGAGTTGCAGGCTCCTCTTGAGCGTCAGAGCCAAGAGGTGGTAGGCACAGGATTCAAACCTAGGGATCTGGCTCCCAGCCTGCTCTCATGACCGCTGTGTGATGAGGCTTTTTCTGACCTCCTTCCCTCTGTAGGCAGAGGCCCCTGGTATGGTTGGGCAGGTTGTGAACTGCACAACTCTAGGGAGCACCATTCCCATTGCAGTTTCTGAGACTAGACCATTTGTGGTGTTGTCCTTCTGGCAGATGAGGGTTAGTGTCTCAAGGAAGGGAAGCCTTCACATAGAAGTGCTGTATGCACCAGCCCTGACATTATAGCTGCTCTAGAGAGACACTGGACCCCTGTTTACCCTCTGCCCTACAGCTCAGTGCAAATCATGGTGCTGCCCTGTCTGCAACAGGACCTCACCAGAAGCCAGGCCCAACACTCAACTCCATGCAGGTGATAAGAGCTCATGATTCTTGAATAATTGCCACGTGCTAAGCAGGGCTCTCAACTGTTACTGGTAGCCTTGTACAAACCTCACAGTCCTCAGGAATAGGTATTTTGTTCTGTCTGTGTCCAGGTAGAGAAACTGAGGCTCAGGGAGCTTGGTGACTTTCCTAGGTTGCCTGGTTGGTAAG